ACATTTATTTAATCACAGGAGGTTTTATGTCTCAAAAATCCTTCGAGAAACAGACATTGTGAGTGTGAGCGACGTCGCCTCTCCACAGATCTGACCTGGAACACTGTCTGGTTTGGTCTCCATGGAGATAGAAAGGTTTAATGCCATACTGTGGAACATTCCAGACAAAGCAGAAACATCTCCATGGAGAAAAGCTCCAGCAGAAAAGTTACACAGTGCAGCTTTTTTTTTGTGTTAGATTTTGTAATTTACTGTGAAATAATAAAATGATTCTTTCTTTTTTCTTGTTGAATTTTGAACAGACGTTTTTTGTGTTTTCAGTTTTTCGAGGGGAAGGAGCTGCGGCTGAAGCAGGAGTATTTCGTGGTGGCTGCGACGCTTCAGGACATCATCAGAAGATTCAAAACCACCAAGAAAGGAACTCCAGGGAGGACGTCGTTTGAGAGTTTCCCCGACAAGGTGAGTTCAGAGAAAACCAGAAGAAAACCAGGAGAAGACCAGGAGGAGACCAGAAGAAGACCAGGAGAGACCAGGAGAAGACCAGGAGAAGACCAGGAGAAGACCAGGAGAAGACCAGGAGAAGACCAGGAGAAGACCAGGAGAAGACCAGGAGAGACCAGGAGAGACCAGGAGAAAACCAGGAGGAAGACCAGGAGAAGACCAGAAGAAAACCAGGAGAAGACCAGGAGAAGACCAGGAGGAGACCAGGAGAAGACCAGGAGAAGACCAGGAGAGACCAGGAGAAGACCAGGAGAAAACAAGAGAGAAGACCAGGAGAAGACCAGGAGGAGACCAGGAGAAGACCAGAAGAAAACCAGAGAAGACCAGGAGAAAACCAGGAGGAGACAGGAGGAGACAGAGACAGGAGAGACCAGGAGAAGACCAGAAGAAGACCAGAAGAGAGACCAGGAGGAGACCAGGAGGAGACCAGGAGGAGACCAGAAGAAAACCAGGAGGGAGACCAGAAGAAGACCAGGAGAAGACCAGGAGGAGACTAGGAGGAGAGGAGACCAGGAGGAGACCAGGAGGAGACCAGGAGGAGACCAGGAGGAGACCAGGAGGAGACCAGGAGGAGACAGGAGAAGACCAGAAGAAAGACCAGGAGAAGACCAGGAGAGACAGGAGGAGACCAGGAGGAGACCAGGAGGAGAAGAAGGAGGAGACAGGAGGAGACCAGAGGAGACCAGGAGAAGACAGGAGAAGACCAGGAGGAGACCAGGAGAGACCAGGAGGAGACCAGGAGAGACCAGGAGAAGACCAGGAGGAGACCAGGAGAAGACCAGGAGGAGACCAGGAGAAGACCAGGAGAGACCAGGAGGAGACCAGGAGAAGACCAGGAGGAGACCAGGAGGAGACTAGGAGGAGACAAGGAGGAGAAGGACAGACAGGAGAGACCAGGAGAAGACCAGGAGGAGACCAGGAGGAGACCAGGAGAAGACCAGGAGGAGGGAAGGAGGACCAGGAGAAGACCAGGAGAAGACCAGAGAGAACCAGGAGGAGACTAGGAGAAGACCAGGAGAAGACAAGAGAGACCAAGGAGAAAACCAGAAGAAGACTAGGAGAAGACTAGGAGGAGACTAGGAGGAGACTAGGAGGAGACCAGGAGAAGACCAGGAGAAGACTAGGAGGAGACCAGGAGGAGACTAGGAGAAGACCAGGAGAAGACTAGGAGGAGACCAGGAGGAGACCAGGAGAAGACTAGGAGGAGACTAGGAGGAGACCAGGAGGAGACCAGGAGAGACCAGGAGGAGACCAGGAGGAGACCAGGAGGAGACCAGGAGGAGACCAGGAGGAGACCAGGAGGAGACCAGGAGGAGACCAGGAGGAGACCGAGCAGCTTCAGGGTTTTTGGTCTCAGGAGACATTTTTGTGCCCAAATCAAAATCCGTTTGCTTCACGTGAGTTTTTCTGGAGTCTGTGTCTGTGACAAACACGACTCTTCTGAGTGAAGAACATGGAGCCTCTGAGTTTCCTCGTCTTCGTTTACGAGGGAAGAATCAGGTCGTTGGTCTGAAGTTTGTGGATCAGAGTTTCGTTCGTTCGTTTGTTTTTCAAAATAAAACCAAAAATAAGAAAACGAGAAAACAACAATTTTCTTCATTATTTGTCTCCAAAACCAAAATGAAAAAAACAGACAAAGATTCGTTTTTTCAGTTTTTGATTTTGTGTTTAAATGAAAAATGGAAAAAAACAAACAGATAACGAACTGAACCAGGACTAAACCAGGACTAAACCAGGACTAAACCAGGACTGAACCAGGACTAAACCAGGACTGAAACCAGGACTAAACCGGGACTGAACCAGGTCTAAACCGGACTGAACCGGGACTAAACCAGGACTAAACCAGGACTAAACCAGGACTGAACCGGGACTAAACCAGGACTAAACCAGGACTGAACCAGGACTGAACCGGGACTAAACCAGGACTAAACCAGGACTGAACCAGGACTGAACCGGGACTGAACCAGGACTGAACCGAGACTAAAACAGGAGTGTCGGGGCGGGGCCCTGAGGTGCGCCCGTGTAGACTGTCGGGTGACCAGGACTGAGACCGGTTTAGTCCTATTTTAGTTCTGGTTTAGTCCCGGTTTAGACCTGGTTTAGACCCGGTTTAGACCCGGTTTAGACCCGGTTTAGTCCCGGTTTAGACCCGGTTTAGACCCGGTTTAGACCTGGTTTAGTCCCGGTTTAGACACGGTTTAGACCCGGTTTAGTCCCGGTTTAGTCCCGGTTTAGACCCGGTTTAGTCCCGGTTTAGACCCGGTTTAGTCCCGGTTTAGACCTGGTTCAGTCCGTTGTCCGTTTTTTCCATTTTTCATATAAACACAAAAGTAAAAACTGAAACTTATTTTTGTTTTTATTTTGAAAAATGAACAAATGACAGACGGGTTTTTGTGGTTGTTTTTCTCTTTCCACTTGTCTCTGTTTTATTTATTTTTGTTTTGTGTTTTTTTTGGTGTTTTTTGTTTTTTCCAGGTGGCGATCCAGCTGAACGACACTCACCCGGCCATGGCCATCCCCGAGCTCATGAGGATCTTCGTGGACATCGAGAAGCTGGACTGGGACGTGGTCAGTTCATGTTTCCTCCTCTAGATCATAAACACAAACAACACAAACACAAACTTAAACTCAAACTCTGCTCAGTGACTTTGACTTGGACCTGGAGAAAGACCAAAGACAAAACCCCACGTGCTCCAGAAGAAACCCTGAACTCTAGACTCGTGTGAAAGTGTCTCGTGAAGCTCGTGGTCTTCATCATGTTCTCTTAAACGTTTGTGTTTGTTGTGTTGTTGTTGTGGAGGCGTGGGATCTGACCCGCCGCACCTTTGCCTACACCAACCACACGGTGCTGCCCGAGGCTCTGGAGCGATGGCCCGTCAGGCTCATGGAGACTCTGCTGCCCCGACACCTGCAGATCATCTACCAGATCAACCAGAAGCACCTGGACGTGAGTCACGCTTAAGACGGAGCGGAAGCTGAGTTTAAAAGAAACTTTAGTCAAAACTGTGTAAACCTGCACCTTTTAACAAACTCTGCACCTTTTACTAAACCTGCACCTTTTACTAAACCTGCACCTTTTACTAAACCTCTGCACCTTTTACTAAACCTGCACCTTTTACTAAACCTGCACCTTTTACTAAACCTCTGCACCTTTTACTAAACCTGCACCTTTTAACTAAACCTCTGCACCTTTTACTAAACCTGCAAAAACCTGCACCTTTTAACTAAACCTCTGCACCTTTTACTAAACCTCTGCACCTTTACTAACTGCACTTTTACTAAAACCTAAACCTGCACCTTTTACTAAACCTGCACCTTTTAACTAAACCTCTGCACCTTTTACTAAACCTGCACCTTTAACAAACTCTGCACCTTTTACTAAACCTCTGCACCTTTTTACTAAACCCCTGCACCTTTTAACTAAACCTCTGCACCTTTTACTAAACTCTGCACCTTTTACTAAACCTGCACCTTTTAACTAAACCTGCACCTGCACCTTTTACTAAACCTCTGCACCTTTTAACTAAACCTCTGCACCTTTTACTAAACCTGCACCTTTAACTAAACCTCTGCACCTTTTACTAAACTCTGCACCTTTTTACTAAACCCCTGCACCTTTTACTAAACCTGCACCTGCCCTTTTACTAAACCTCTGCACCTTTTACTAAACCTGCACCTTTTACTAAACCTGCACCTTTTACTAAAACCTTTTACACCTTTTACTAAACCTGCAACCTGCACCTTTTACCTAAACCTGCACCTTTTAACTAAACCTGCACCTTTACTAAACCTCTGCACCTTTTACTAAACCTACCTCTGCACCTTTTACTAAACTATGCACCTTTTACTAAACTATGCACCTTTTACTAAACTATGCACCTTTTAACTAAACCTCTGCACCTTTTACTAAACCTGCACCTTTTACTAAACCTCTGCACCTTTTACCTAAACCTGCACCTTTTACCTAAACCTGCACCTTTTACTAAACCTGCACCTTTTACCTAAACCTGCACCTTTTAACTAAACCTCTGCACCTTTTACTAAACCTCTGCACCTTTTACTAAACCTGCACCTTTTTACTAAACCTATGCACCTTTTAACTAAACCTATGCACCTTTTAACTAAACTATGCACCTTTTAACTAAACTATGCACCTTTTAACTAAACCTCTGCACCTTTTACTAAACCTGCACCTTTTACTAAACCTCTGCACCTCTTACCTAAACCTGCACCTTTTACTAAACCTGCACCTTTTACTAAACCTGCACCTTTTACTAAACCTGCACCTTTTAACTAAACCTCTGCACCTTTTAACTAAACCTCTGCACCTTTTAACTAAACTCTGCACCTTTTACTAAACTCTGCACCTTTTACTAAACCTCTGCACCTTTTACTAAACCTCTGCACCTTTTACCTAAACCTGCACCTTTTACTAAACCTCTGCACCTTTTACTAAACCTCTGCACCTTTTACTAAACCTGCACCTTTTACTAAACCTC